AAATTTTTTGCATTTTGCTTGCTGTAGATCCTTATTTTTTTTTACCTAGCTTTGTTTTTTTAACACTCAATGGCTGACTCAGCCAGGAAAAGGATTTGTATGAACGGTGTTCCCGGCTGACAGCGTCGCACATTTTATGGCTGGGAATGTGTTTCATTTTAACTAAGCGTCTTGGTGTTTGGAGCTATGCTACGCTAACCTGAGGACGCCATAGCACGGCAGGACACTACGGTGCTTTTGAATATTTTTGGAGAGATTTGAGTGGATCTACAGATCAACGAACACGTTCGCAGGGAAACGGAGCTCCACAACCGCGGTCCGCGGGCCAGACCGGACCGGTGAAATACAACTGGGGAGGCTCAACTGTCACTGCCGTCCATGAATCGAGAAGGACTTCTTACTGGAACTGAAACGATGTACTGGGATTAAGTTCTTTGTCAACAAAGAAAGGAGGATGGAGTTTGTCTTTAAGTGAACAGCATTCGGTAAGTGACAAACTGCGTTTGTTTGTTTACATCTGCAGTAACATTACTACTGTTCATTTGTCTATCGTGTCGTTTTTATGAATAATATTTGAATGGCTCGTGCTCTTGTGTGGTGGAATACGTGGATCCGCTGCAGTTCTGCTGGATTGATGTGTCATGCTTTGTTGTCATATGAATATATGTGACTGGTTCTTATGATTTTGTGGTTGTCATTGTGTTAATTGGGTTGACTTTGACTGTGCATTGTCCATTAATGAGGTTATTAGGAGGTAATTCAACTGTAGTAGGACAGCACACAAGGCCCAGGTATAAAATGCATGGCCCGCCACTGTTTTACACATATTACTGGGTGCATTCTATATTTCAAAAACACAAATATTGAAAATTTGTATAATTTCTAATTATTATTCTATATTAGTGCTGGACAAGTTAACGTGTTAATATCGCGTTAACACATTCATTAATTAACGCAGACAATTATTTTATCGTGTGGTAATGCAGTTTTTTAATTTTTTATTATTAAGCCATTTTTAACACAAGAACCGGGCAGCCAGCGGTGAACAGCTGTGTTTGCGTGGAGTCTCTCCCTTCTCTTCCTGCTGCTGCTGTCCCCCCCCCCCTTCACTCCGTCACCGTGGGTCCCTCTTGTCTCACACACACACACGCACGCGCGCGCGTGCGATCGTCTCATTACAGGATCAAACGTGACAATATCAAAATACATATTGTCCTGTTTTTAAATGAACATATAAGCATGAGAGAACAAACTGCTCTTAACTGCAACTCTTTATTAGCATAACTTTCCCCTGCAGGTTACTGCCACGGTACAGGCTCCCTCCAGGTTCCCTTGCTTCACCTACATTCCACTGGGTCCTAAGTCCCTCCTTGTACAGCTTCTTATTACCCTCTATGTACCAACGTACATTTATAACAAATACCACACATATTACGGTAATCCAGTGGCGGGCCGAGAGTGCGTCTCCTCTCTTCTCTGACTGCAGCTGGGACTGCTGCGCCAGGCTGCTGTGAGTACCCACCTGTGAGTGCTTTGGGGCGGCTCACGGCAGCACCCGCTGCTCGTTCACGACAGTGCAGACAGTGTTGCCAACTTGGCGACTTTCTCGCTAAATCTGGTGACTTTCCAAACCCTCATGGCGACTTTTTTTGTCAAAAGCTACTAGCGACAAATCTAGCTACTTTTTCTGGTGTTGTTGGAGACTTTTCTGGTGTTTTGACTCTGACATGAAAGCACGTACCGTTCGGCACGCAGGAGCTGCCGTGAGCCCCTCCGTCGCTCCAAAGCACTCACAGGCAGTTAGTCTCACAGTAGCCCCTCGCACAGCAGTCCCAGCTGCAGAAAGAGGAGACCCACACTCTCCGTGTCCAGACTGCAAATGAATCGCACATGCGCAAAGCCGCCGCTGTTCCCGGCTCTCTCTTACAGTGCTCATTACAATTATGCAAACTAGGCGATGACGTCATTTAGCGACTTCTAGCGACTTTTAGGACAGCCAATAGTTACTTTCCTTACTGAGGAGTTGGCAACACTGAGTGCAGAACGTACGTGCTTTCACGTCAGAGTCAAAACACCAGAAAAGTCTCTAACAACATCAGAACAAGTCGCTAGATTTGTCGCTAGTAGCTTTTGACAAAAAAAGTCGCCATGAGGGTTTGAAAAGTCGCCAGATTTAGCGAGAAAGTCGCCAAATTGGAACACTGGCACCAGATAAATATGTCCGCAGAGCAACATTGTGTCAGGATCCCTGTCTGACCCATTGTGTGTTAACCTCTGTTTCCCCCCCAATCTCCTCTCCTCATGTGTCTGTCTTTCCCCTGTTTCTTTTGTTGTGCCATGTGCTTGGTGTTGTTTTCTCGGGCCTGCCTCCAGACACCTCCCATTGCCAACGCCCTGATGGATGCACAGCTGCGGACAATCTGGCTCGTTACCCAGCAGCATATCAACCCTGGTCTTGCAGGCCTGGGTTGTCAGTCCGTATTGTCTTCTGCCTCGGTAGCCTCCACTGCCGTTCCGTAAGTTGAACCCCGTTGTTCCTTTCTGAACTAATCTCTCTCCTCTCTGCTACAGGTGTAGAGTACTGGTCGATCTGCATACTCTCCGGTGTCGAGCCACGGGACATCACACCGTTGATCTGCCAACACTCCGGTGTCGAGCCACGGGACATCACACCGTCGAGCTACCAGCCCTCCGGTGTCGAGCCACGGGACTCACACCGTCAATCCGACTGCCCTTCGGTGTCGGACCACGGGCTCCACACCTTCACACACCTTCCTGTCTTTATTCTGGCCAAATAAAATCCGTTACATCGGACTCTGTCTCCTGTGGTCTTGCGTTTGGGTCCAATCCGTGAAATCCCGTGACACATTGGATGTAACAATGGTTCCTATCACATATAAAACCAAACAAAAATCCATCTCCATAAAAACAAGTTGTACAAATAATAATATATAAACGAGCATATTAAAGCTACTGCAGATGTAAAAACAAACGCATTTAACTTACCAGAGCTGCTGTTCACTATTTAAAGACAAAGTCCATCCTCCTTTCTTTGTTAACAAAGAGTTTAATCTCACGGTTAAATCCCAACTCACAAATCCGTTTCTTCTCCTTCAGCCATTGAGTGTTAAAAAAAAAAAATAATCTACACCAAGCTAAATGCAAACAATGTCATTTCTTCCATATCTTTCAATTTGAACTCTCACTACTCTGACTAAGCTCTGCCAGCTTCATTAATTTTCGTTTTCCAATAGTCACGTGCTCGCCCACTGACCAATCACAGCACACGCTGCACCTCACTGCAGAGCTGCACCTGGAAACTGAGCTGCATGTAATGCTAACGTACTTGTAGGCCAGCTAGCAGCTCTGACACGTCAAAGAATACGCCCAACATGTCAAACTAAAGATCTGATTGGTTGAACACTATGACAATCAACAATATCGTCCCCATTCACTTAAAGTGCACATGGATGCACTTGTGAGTCTGCAGGCCTCGGGCCTCTGTTCTTACCTAGAGACACAGAGGTGAAATCTGATTGGATAAAAGCTCTACTTAAAACAAGCTGCACTGGAAGCAGAGCAACTGAGGAAGACAGTAGCTGTGCAATGAGAACATAAGATAATGGGAACAATATTTTTATAAATTATAATACATGTAGTGTACTTAAGATAAATTATTAAATTATAAAATAGATATAGCTTTGTGATTCTGTTTAGGCCAGCAGAGAAAGCTTTGCTGGCCCTGACGGCCAACCACTACAGTAATCAGCGTTGCATATGTGTCTGACCAAAATACAAAAAAAAAGCAAAAAAGAAATGATTCATTTAAATTATTTTTTTAGAGTTTTTAAAGTTGTTTTGTTTGTAATATGTACAATAAGCATATCATTTAGTTATCGCTAATGAGAATTTAACAAACATAAAAAAAGGAAAAAAACTTGACGTAGATAGGTTTGCAGTTTTCAAAGTGTATATTTCAGATTGCATCTCTTACACACATGAAAATAAAGTTGTGAACACCGGCTGAATATCTATGATCAGAATCATTATAACTGTATTATAACTGCTACTGTGTAAAGGGAATACTGCTGTTAAAAATAACCTGATTTGTTTAAAGTGTTTGCAAATCAAATATTATTGCACTTTTGTTCATATAGCAGTACTTTAAAATAAAAGTGCGCAATACACTACTTTTGAATTCAAAAATCATGCGATTAATCTCGATTAAAAATTGCAATCGTTGCCCAGCACTATTATATATATTTTTTGGCTAAAAGGGGGGCGGTGCCCTCTATTCACAAGCCGCCACTGCCATCGGTACACTCCACCCCAGGCGTCCTAAATACTGCTGCTCAGCAAACAGGGGAAATACCAAAAGGTTATTTCTTATTTTAGCTAATTTCTGCAGACCTGCAGAGAAACCTTTCAGACATAAGGAACACAAGTATCCAGACATCCTCATCTACCCTATTATTTTATATAACTGCACCATGTATTGGGGTCATATTGATAATCAGCCCAATTGTAATGGAGTGGAGGCAGAAATCCCAGAGATAGATAGGCCATCTGAAAAAAGACAAAATTAAACTTCTAAGTATTTTGAACGTTGGTTATTTTTACATTTGACAGATGCTGTTAGCTGCTGAATTCTCGTTCCAGCGGGTCTCGGTACAACAGCGCCCCCCTGCGAAGGAAACGACAACATGTGGGGATTGCGGTCTCAGCCTTGTGTTCTTGTCTGGCCGTGGACCACATTTAGATCATTCAGATAACTTCCCAGTGGAAACTACTGTTCCAGCTAATGTTAAAGACGTCAGGGATATATGCTCACCACTACCAGCTAGAAACAAACGTTGTTTAAGCGTCGGATCACTATCTCAAAAATACTACGAAATCCTAGTTAATGTTTTGTAAATAACCTTTACTTGGGTAATTGCATTACATTGCAATGTTTTCATCTAACGTTAACTCAGTTAATTAAACCAGAGAATACAGTATTTGTTAAAAGTTAAGCATATAACGGTAAAATTGTCAGTTTAAGACAAAAATGCCTATTTTTCCCGGTTTGATTCAACGCCACATGAGAAGAACGGTTTGTTTTGGTCACATGACAGGAAGTATGTGTCGGACGTTCAGTGCTATTAGGAAGTGTGTCTATTTACAATGCAGCGACACACAGCTCTGAAGTCTCGAAATACAACAATTACCCATCACTTCTTGAAGGATTAAGTCTGTTTTCAATGAAACTCACGAGGTTGGTTTCGTCCTCGAGTCCTTTTTACCGCCAGCTGTCTCTTTTTGGTTTTGAGTAACGTTACTCAACCGTCGCAAGCTAGCTAGTTTGAGCTAAGTGGCTAGCTAATAAGTAAGATCACAACCTTGCCCTGTCCGTCACCACAACAACGCTGAGTTGTGTGTTAATGGTGCTTCTTAATACATCCGTTGTCATTGTTTAGTGAATGTCGGACCACTGCTTGGCAGTCCTCGGGGTGAAGTTGATGTAACTAACGCTAACTGTCCCTGTAAAGTCCTGTCCTCAGAGGGTTTGACAGGACATGGTCACCTATTGACAACGGCGTCTGGCTGGCATGGACTCAGCAAAGCTGGGTGGATGAAGAGCTAACGGCCAACTGTCGTCTTAGACGGTGAGTTAGCGACACTGCTGTTTGTATGTTACGATGCTGCTTTGATGCTAACTTTACTGAAGTTTAAGTTACTGTCACTCTGCCAACGCCGGATAAGAGAGGGCAGTCACTGGTAAGCCATCGGCTTTGATTAGACACCGTCACTCCTTTAGTTCATCCTGTAACTAACTGTAATGCTGCCATTGATGAGATTATAAAACCACTATATCTCTACAGATTATTAAGACTTGTCCTGCGTTTGTCAGACATTGAACACCTCCCTTGTGAGGGCTTCAAACCAGAAGGTCGTCAGAATTTCCTCCCACACCTTGGAGTAGCTCTTATCAGCCCTGAGCCACCAGGATGTTGGAGGGCCTTGTTGCCTGGGTGCTTAACACATACTTGGGAAAATATGTCAGCAACCTGAACACAGACCAGCTCTCCATCGCCCTGCTGAAAGGTAAATGCATGCATCCATCTTTCTGGTCACTGGTTTTACACATAACATTTTCCTTCTTCCTGCATTGCAAAAATCAGTTTGCATAGACTCAACACTTTGGTTGAGTAATCAATCAAAGTGAAAAGGATTTCTGCTGAACTATATTATTTCATCCACCCCATTTCTATCAATGAGGGAAGGCTGAATAACACAAGCACCTCTCTGAACATCACAGTACAGCTCAACAGCACCATCAAAATGACCATACAGTGGAATCAAAGCCTCTCTAAAGCAGTTTCCGGAACATAATCTTGATGAAGGGAGGATTCATTGAAGCCAGGTGTACCTAATAAACTGGCCACTAAGTGTCTGTTATTTCAGAAACTCTTAAATCATTTAAAACCAGTAGAACGTTGGAACAATCATTCGCTCACTGTTATAAACAATTGTAATGGGTTTAATTGAAATGATCAACAGCTGTTGGGAAAGTGAGTCAGTCCAAACTTGGCAAAGACGTGTTTGTCTGTTTCCTGTCGGTCCTTAGGTGCAGTGGAGCTGGAGAACCTCCCTCTGAGGAAAGACGCCCTCCGAGAGTTTGACCTGCCGTTTGAAGTTAAAGCAGGTGAGACACACTGACTGATGACCTCACAAAGTTTTAACACAACTAACCCATAAACTATAACCAAAGTGGGGACTTCTCTTAAAGGCAAAGGCTGCACATTTCCTGTATGGCTGTGTCTGAGCTGCTCTCATCAACTCTCTGTGATTGGTCCATGTGTTTCCCTCAGAGTCCTGTGCAGGAGTTACGGTGTTTTTGTCAACAAAGCACAGAGAAGCTCTGATAACACACACACACAAAGAATTACTTCTGACTGATGTCATCAGTCATCACCTTTAACGTTGAGCCCTGTATCTTTAATAGGGGCCATGATGTCAAATAGACATCACACACAGGTCATTGTTTTAACTAGCCCCACTTTTTCAGTCAGCTACTATGTTTTGATTTTGTTGGTATAGTTGATCTCGACCCAGCAGCTTGTTTCATTTGAACTTCTTTGCACAGTTCACACATTTCCTGTGTACATTGTGCTTGGAAATAGAAGATGGACAAAATGTTTGGTGAGTAAAGCACAGTATGTTGGAGAAGAACATATTTTGACAGATTAATCGCAACAAAGTGTCTTAAAGGAAATGTCTTAAAAAGTCAGCTCACCTAAATCACTAAAATCCTACAGATTAGTAACAAATGAAAGAACAAGCCAACATGAAGAATGCTAGAAAGGTATTGTTCCACCACAAGCTTCTACTGGTTTTTCTCTGTTGACTTGTAGCTGAAACATCTCAAAGAGCCCGTCAGCAAGTTCTGTCTATTGTAACAAACTGAATCAGGATTTTCCTGTCTGGTGACGTGTGCTCTAAAGTAAGGACGAAGGAGCAGCTATGTTTCTGTGAGAACGCTGTTGTCTTTCAGGTTGCAAATGGTATGGTTCCAAAAACCTTGGCACAAATCCGGTCCCTAAAACCCTCTGACTCCACGATGCACTGAACTGTGCTTGTAGTCACACCAACAGCTGAATGAAGCACCTTTCTTTAAGTGTTTGTATAAATACAAAGGTCAGCTTCAGGACAAACTTGCCCCTCTCCTGCAAGGAAACTATAAATATATATCAGAATCAGAAATACTCTATTGATCCCCAGGGGTATGGGTTGCTTCTCAAGTAGAAATATATAGCATAGAGCAAATATAAATAGTATTTAAAATATGTGCATTATACTACAATGTAACAACAATACATATTGAAAATATAAGTTAATATGTAAACAATGTATAACATAATATATAACAAATGATAATGCTGAAAAATTAGATCTATGATTCAGTGTGTGAAAATGTATATCGTATAAATAGTATAAACAAATAAGAATATTCGTTTAAATGACCACTATAAATAAATACAGTTTTAATGCCAGAGTAAAGCAGAATATTACACATTTGGATTATTGCACTAAATGATTGTTCAGTCAGTATTGCTCAGTTGATGATATATGTTATGGGGTTACAACTGCTGATATCAGTAAAAGAAATCAATAAATATATGTTGTATATTTATTAGTGCTGGGCAAGTTAACGCGTTAATTTCGCATTAACGCATTCATTAATTAACGGCGACAATTATTTTATCGCGTGTTAACGCATTTTTTAAAATTTATTATAATTCTTTTTATTTTATTTTATTTTTTTTTAATTTTATTTTTTATTGAAAGACAAGAGACAATACATATACATAACAACAAGAGGATGACAAGAACAGTGGGATAAAAGCCAGCAAACATCATATAGTCAGTTGTGTGTGTGTGTGTGTGTGTGTGTGTGTGTGTGTGTGTGTGTGTGT